AACATATATTTATCGCCCTATCGTATTTTGAAACAAAATGGTACACGTTTAAGAAAGTCGAGAAAAATAAGGGTAAATAGGGGCAAGTACGAAAATGTAGGCAACGACCCCGAAAAAACTTATTTTCAAACACGACACCATTATTTGATGTGGATAACATATATTTATCGCCCCAGCGTGTTTTGAAGCAAAATGGTACACGTTTAAGAAAATCTAAGAAAATAAGGGTAAATAGTACGAAAATGTAAGCAACGTCTCCTGAAAGACTTGTTTTCGAACACGACACAATGATTTGATGTGGATAACATATATTTATCGCCCCATTGTCTTTTGAAGCAAAACGGTACACTTTTAAGAAAGTCGAGAAAAATAAGGGTAAATAGGGGCAAGTACGAAAAATGTAAGCAATGTCTCCGGAAAGACTTGTTTTCGAATACGGCACGATTATTTGATGTGGATAACATTCATTTATCGCCCCATCGTATTTTGAAGCAAAATGGTACACGTTTAAGAAAGTCGAGGAAAATAAAGGTAATTTGGGGCAAGTACGAAAATGTAAACAACGTCTTCGGAAGGACTTGTTTTAGAACACGACACCATTATTTGATGTGGATAACATATATTTATCGGCCCATCGTGTTTTGAAGCAAAACTGTACTCTTTTAAGAAGGTCGAGGAAAATAAGGGTAAATAGGGGCAAGTACGAAAATGTAATCAACGTCTCCGGAAAGACTTGTTTTCGAATACGACACAATTATTTGATGTGGATAACATATATTTATCACCCCATCGTGTTTTGAAGCAAAATGATGGGCAAAGGATAACAGAGTTATCCGACTCGGGTCGATCTCGAAGGAAGGCTATTCGGAGCTTCGTCTACTATATGATCGTCCAAATCACAAAAATCGAAAATAAAATCCTAAACATTCTAAGCAATTGATTAGGGGGGTTTGATTATCACTAGACGAGCGCTTAAAACGAGCAATTAATTAAAAGCAAGATCAAAAGACGAGAAATTAGCTAACTAGATCACCGGAGTCTCATGTCATAACCATAACGGGATGATAATCAATCGACATACGGAATAAACGAGCTACGAGCATTAGATTGCTAATCCTAGTCGTCTAACCGAGATCAACAAGCAATTAACGGCTCTATCTACTCAAGCAACGCAATCAAGCATAAGCATTTCCTTCATCATCAATCAAATCCAAATTTACCCTAATAAGCATTATAAGTAAAAACGGAGCAAAAACCGAAGTAAAGAGCTTTAAAACTAAATACTCATTCTTCCATTGCGTAGACGATGAAAAACGGAGTCAAAAGCTCGAAACTTGAACGAAACCGAAGTCGCCGGAAAATCTCCCGGAAAATGACATAAGCTCCTAATCTAGAGAGCAAAATAAAATAAAAGATGATTTCCCAAAATGGAAAAAATGAAAAATGAAAGTTGGATCCCCAAAATGCAAAGGAACAAAAATATTTATAGTCCACGCCAAACACACACTAGAAAAACGCACACTTAATGAGACACTCTCGACATAGCCTTGAAATCCGCGAGCTCGCGGTGGTGGAGTAGCGCACTCTCGACGGTGCGGGTGTTGGGGCGTGCTCGCGAGGTGTGTGGTTGGCGGCTGGTGCAGAGCTCTCGAGCACGCGGCTCTTTCCGCGAGTGCGAGGGCGCAGGTGTGCACGGGTGCGGGCGGCAGTGGACGACACTCTCAGTGTCGCGCGGCAATCCGCGAGGTCGCAGTGCGGGGCAGCAGGTGATGCGCGGGTGCTATCGATGTCGCGGCATCTTCCGCGAGGGCGCGAGTAACTGTGTGGTGCTCGCGAGGTCGCCCAGCATCCCGCGTGATCGCGAGTGTGGGCGGGGACGTGCGCGACAGCAGTCCGCGAGCTCGCCATAATCGCCGCATGGTCGCGAGTTCCCGACAGTGCGTGCGATGGCGAGTTGTGCGTCCGGTTCGACTTAGGCTCGTAAACATCGATTAACACGGGTTCGTCCGAAATGGCTCGGCACTTCTCGGAATCTTGAGAATTCGGTTCGACTCGTCCCGTTCATTCTCGGAATAAACCTGAAAAGATATCAAAAGCACGGACAAGTACGCCGAAATATAAAAATAAAACGAAAGACACAAAACACAAGGAAAACGACAAAATGGACCGGGCGACACTAAAACGAACCTAAAAAATGACTCGATAACACATATAAACACATAAAAATAAGCACAAAAACATAACAAACAACTCCCCCACACTTAGCTTTTTGCTTGTCCTCAAGCAAACAAAATAACCTCAAAGAGATATATCGAACGGGCCAAAATTTACGAACATGCAAAATGACACTCTCATTATCATTCGGTTATCCCAAAATCAATATTCAATCCGAGACACGGTTCCCACATAATGAATCGAACGAAACAAAAACCCGTCCCAAGTCAATCCACAAATGATCGCTCGAGTCAAACTCCCTCACTCACATGTACGTGCAAAAACCATAGATAATCTACAAAACATGAAATAATAAGCACGAGATCAATAGGCCAACTCCCCGATTTTCTTCTTTTTTTTTTCTTTCTTTTTTTTTTATATATTTT